ATGGACATCAGAAGAAAAAGAAAATAGGAAACAACCTCGGAACCTGCCACAGAGGGCCTCTGAAAGCCTCTGCAGTATAGACTATCAAAGCAGATGCTGAGCCTGATGGTCAACTGATGGGCAGAGTGAATGGAATTTTATGTAAGAAGTGGGAAATAGTAAGAGCTGGGGGGGATGGGAAATCCACAAGGAGAGCAACAGAACAAGATAATTTGAACACAGGGAACTTCCCAGAGACTCAGACTCCAACCAAGGACTATTCATGGAGATAACCTAGAACCTCTGTACAGATGTAGCCCATGGCAGTTCAGTGTCCAAGTGGGTTCCATAGTAATGGGAAGAGGGACTGCCTCTGACATAATCTGATTGGCCTGCTCATTGATCACCTCCCTCTGAGGAGGGAGCAGCCTTACCAGGCCACAGTAGAGGACAATGCAGCCACTTTTGATGAGAACTGATAGACTAAGATCAGTTCTCCTCCCCTATCAGTGGACTTGGGGAGTGGCATGCATGCAGAAAGGGGAGGGAGGGTGGGATGGGGAGGGGAGGAGGGAGGGACTTATGGGGGATACAAAATGAATAAAGTGTAATTAATAAAAAATTTTAAAAAAGGAAAAAAAAGAAAAAGTAATTTAGAGTGAACTCCACCACACACAGGTAAAATACCTCTTCTACTCACTGACTTGCCCACTTGCCTAAAGTTCAGTTTCTCAGTCTTGCCTTCTGGAGGAAGTAGTGAGGAGGAGGGATTGCTCAGCCAGAGGTTACCTTGATGTTTCTCATAGCCAGCCAGAGTGGGAAGAGAAGGGAGGGGTTGGCAAGGAAGCCTGGGAAGTTCCAGTCACCCTAGAAGACTGGTCCAACCAGTATGTGTGCCTCATCTCTGGGCATAGGTGGAGCCTCAATAGGCTGAGAGACAGTGTAAGGTGATGCTGGGCCTCCACATCTGTGTCTTGAGGCACCCCCACCCCTTGGATGCCACACTGAACTTCACTCTTCAGAGAGCAAGACTGACACTGTGGCTCTCAGGTGCCTTTGCTTTCTCTACAAGAAGCAAGATGGAGATTCACACCCAGACCCTGGGCTGCTTCTCAAAGGGCCTCATGTTCTCAGGTAAGGAGGAAACAAGCTCAAGGACTGAGGGCCAAGATGGAGCAGAATAGTAGCATCACAGTTCCATCCCTATTTCAGATCTAAATTTTTCTAGGATTTCAGAACTGTGAGGATAGGAATTAGTGTTTGCTTCCCTACTGTGTTCTGGGAAGAGAGTGAGGGAGGGGACTAGAGACAGAGCCTGAACTGGTGAGTCCCACCTAGAATCCCATCATTTGGAAGGTAGAAGGCCAGTTCAAGGCTAGCCTGGTCCAATTGAGACCTTGTCTCAAATAAAAAGTGAAACTCTAGGAAAGGGCCAACCATGGTGCTGCATATCTGTAATGGAAGCACTTTGGAGGATGAGTCAGAAGGATCACAAATTTGAGCTGAACAGCATAGTGAGTTCTAGGCGACCTTGACTTAAAAAAAAAAAAAAAGGAAAACAGGAGGTGGTGGCACACCAGCACATAGAATCCCAGCACATAGGAACCAGAGGCAGGCAGATCTCTATGACCAGGGCAGCCTGGTCTAGAGTGAGCCCTAAGGCAGCCAGAGCTACACAGAAAAAGCTCAGTCTCAAAGAATGAGAAGAGGAAAAGGAGGAGGACAAACATGGAAGTTTATGCCTATGATGTATTTGGGATGATAACTGATATAATAGATATGTCCTTAAATATTGGTTGAATGAAAAAATTCAGAGGGTCCAAGTGTTTAGGGAAAGACCAGGGCAGAAAATCCTTCAGATTTGTGGCATCTGTGCCAGTATTCCTACTCCTGCACCCAGGGCAGATATCACTAATTAATCTTGTTGTCTTTTAATGAACAGCCCTCAGAGTCTTTACTTCCAGTTAAGTGTCCATAGAGAGGAAGATTTTGTTATCTCCTCCCCACAGTCAAACTTAAGCTTCCTCCATTTTTTTCCATAGCCTTGATCTTAGCTCTCTGGCTGCCCCAAGGCTCCCAGGCAGCCCTCCACATTCAGAAGATTCCAGAGCAGCCTCAAAAGAACCAAGACCTTCTATTATCCCTTCACGGTGTCCCCAGCACTGTCCAGGACTTTATCTGGTACTTAGGGGAGGAGACTTCTGGAGGCACAAGGCTATTCTCTTACATCCCTGGGCTAATGAGGCCCCAGAGGGATGGCAGTTCCATGGGACAGAGAGACATTGTTGGCTTTCCCAATGGTTCCATGCTTCTTCGAGGTGCCCAACCTTCAGACAGTGGCACCTACCAAGTGGCTGTCACCATCAACCCTGTGTGGACAATTAAGGCCAAGACTGAGGTAAAGGTAGCTGGTAAGTGGAAAGGCTATGGTGGGATGGGATGCAGGTCATGTGCAAACACTATTTCATTTGACCTCCTCATTCATATGCATACTGTGCATTTTATTAAGAGCACTCAAGTGTTTATTGATGTGGATGCTCCAGATGAAAGGCTAGGAGACAGGGTGGAGGACAGTATTAACATCGAACACTTTTTGGGAATCTTACCAGGCCAAGTATGATTCTAAATACTTTTCCTGGATAAGGCTGATCATTAGGACTGGCTGATAGCTTAGGGTAGAGGGCTGTGCATCTCAGAGAAGTTTTACAGCCTCTCTGGTCTCACTAGACATTACTAGTGCTTGCTACTCACAAGAACCACAGACAGTGCTAGGTTTTTCCAAGTGCCCCCCAGAGCCATTCTGCTTGCACAATGACCATTACAATATAGTAATGCTTTGTCACTTAAAAAAGCTCCTGAGGCAGTCACCATTGTTGTCTCATTTTACAGGGGGAAAAACTGAGGCACAGTGGATTTACACTTTGCCTGGCTCAGAATACTAAATAAGCAACATGACACAGGAAGGGAGGTCATCAGAGTGGTCTCAGTAAAGAAGATGACCCTTAGTTAGGTATGGTGGAATAGACATGTCACCCAGCATGGAGGAAGTTGGGTCAGGGCAGTGAGAAATTCTGAGGCAACCTAGGCTATATGATGAGTTACAGGTTGGACTGGGCAACAGAACAGGACCTTGTCTCAAAAATGTCAACAGGATTAGTAAGATAGCTCAAGGGGGAAAGCCTGATGGACTAATTTTGATTCCCCAAACCTGCAGAGTAAAAGAAATCCAACTCTGACACTTGTCTTTTAACTTCCACTTGCTGGTGTGGGCACACAGGTGAATAAATAAATAAAGAGGGGAAAAAGCCATGCCGTGGGGACACATGCCTTTAATTCCAGTACTCATGAGGCAAAGGCCAGCAAGTCTTTAGCTCAAGACCAGCCTGGCCTACAGAGCAAGTTCCAGGGCAGCCAGGGCTACACAGAGAAATTTGTCTCAAAACAAAACAAAACAAGAAAGAAAGGAAAGAGAGAGAGAGAGAGAAAAAAAGAAAGATTCTAAGCAGGGGCTTTATCCTGAGAAGTACCGTAAGCTCCCCTAGCTGCTGCTTACTCTGTTCTTGCATCCATGCTAACGTGACATTCTTTTGCCACTCAGAGTCTTACATTCAAAGAAGAGGGCTAAACCAGGCAGTGGTGGCACATCCCTTTAATCTCAGCATTTGGGAGGCAGAGGCCTGTGAATCTCTGAGTTGAAGGCCAGCCTGGTCTATAGAGGGAGCTCCAGGACAGAGAGGGCTACACAGAGAAACTCTGGGAAAACAAAAACAGGAAAACAAACACACAAACAAAAAACAAAGAAGGGGGTTCAGACTCTCAAGCTTCTCAGAATAACAAGTCACAGCACTGAAGAACACAGAGTGGGAGACACTGTTTGGATCTGGACCTTGGAATTTAAAAAATATGTCTTATGGCTCAGTTGATAAACTCACTCTCTATACTCAAGAAAAATAACATGTTACGAGAAGGAGACTTCTCCTGTCTGATGGACAATGAAAAATGATGAGGGACTCAGAACACCTTAAACCCATCAGTCTATGGCCTTGAGCCCCACCTGGGGTGAGATTCAAGCCCAGCCTGATGACTGGGACAGGAGGATGGAAAGTGCAAAGCCCCTCTGAACAACTTATTGAAATCCTGCCTCCAAATTAAAAGGGGAAGGGAAAAGTTGAGAAGGAAAGAGAAAGAAATGATTTTTAGGGCTTTTGAAGCAACAAACGGTTCACACATAAGAGCCCTGACTGACTACTCTTCCAGAGAACACAGGTTTGGTTCCCAGCACCCACATGTTGGCTCACAATCATCTAGAGCTCCATTTCCACGGAATCCAATGCTCCCTATTGCCTTTGCAAGCACTCAGCATGGATATGGTACAAAGACATACATACAGGCAAAATATTCATATACATACAATACATAGGATATACATGTCTCTCAGTTGGCAGAGTGCTTGCTTAACACACATGAAGTCCTGGGTTAGGTCTCCAGCAACATATGAACTACACACCTGAATTCCAGGACTGGGCAAGTCTCTGAAGCAGGATTAGCCAAGGATGGAACTCTACGCTGAGTAACAGATATTGTCTAAAAAAAAAATGCAAGGGAGAAAATGATTAAGGAAGAAAATTGACCTCATCGTCTGGTCTTTACCTGCATGCACCTGCATGCATCCACATCCACATGAGTCATGAACATGCATACATGCATGCATAAACACAAAGAAATTCAAGGTGATCCTCAGCTATATAGTAAATTGGAGGCTAGCCTGGGGGTATTGGAGACCTTATCTCAAAATAATAACATTTGAAAAATGATAATTTATGAAAAACATGGACTGAGAAGATTTAGATCACCAGCAAAGCCCCTGCCTAGAACCCTCCAGTGAGGGGCAGGAGGTGTGACTCATTGGCAAAGCCCCTGCCTAGAATCCCCAGTGAGGATGTGGCTTAGTGGTAGAGGCCCTGCTTAGAATGCCCCATTCAGATTCCAGGAATGTGGCTCAGTGGAATAGTGGGTGTCTAGCAGGCATAGTATGGCACTGTAAAGAAAAATAATTATGTAAGGACACACAAAAATCTTCACTGACACAACCCTAATTCCCAGATGCTCATGAGTTCTCAGCCACCAGACACCTGCCTGTCAATGCTGGGATCATGGCAGCTACCATTATTGGAAGTCTTGTTATGGCATCACTGCTTGTAAGTGGTATTGCCTACCTCCTGATCACTCAAAGCCGGAAGGTCCAGAGCCCCAGGTACTGGTCCCAGATCTCCATCTCTGTCCTCCACCCCCTCTTTTTCCTCTCTAGGTACCCTGTCTTTCACAGACTGGGTAAGGGTCAGGTTAATGGGTGGGAATCAAGGAGGCAGAGTCTACAGGTTGTTGGGGTCCCCTTCCACAACCACAGCATCTCAGGGTTATTTTATGTACCCCTAGGATACCAGCTACAGAGAAGCCAAAGATGAACACTAGCCCTGAATCTGGTAAGTCAGGAGAAAATGTCTTTTCGCACAGCATTTCTGTATCCCTGATTCAGAGGTCCATAGTCCCACATGCAGGCCGAGCCCTCTGGGATTCTTGGACTCACTGAGGAGATCTGAGAAGATTAAGCCCCTTATAAACCTCCAGGGTCCCTGCTCCTAAGTAGTTTCCTGCTCAAAAGCCTTCCATAGGTCTCCCAGTGCCTCTGGAAAGACTTCTGTCTCCCTAGAATGACTCTCAGGCTCCTTTGTCTGCAGGCAGTGATCTCTCTTGCCAGGCTTCTGCATACTTCCCTCAAATCTCCGCTTAGTCCTCACCTCATCTCGCTGTCTCAGATGACCCTTCCTCCAGGTAGTCATCTCTGAATTCAAGCTGGCTAAGCACCTGTTTCTATGTTTCTCTATCCTCCTCCCTCATTCTCAGCCTTAGACTCTGTGAGTAGTCACTCCCTGAAGATGCCATTCTCTTCCCCCAGGGGAATTTGAGTACTAGGAATGCATAGCCTGGATTTTCTGGGCCACCATTGTGACCCCAGCACACAGTTGGCAGGAGGAGGGGTTTGCCCAAATATTGGTTGAGTGAATGAATGAGTGAAATGGACAGGCGGCCAGAGCAGGCCTATAGAAGTCATCTGCCAGTGGGACCTCCTTTCTCCTCTACTTCAGGTGACGGCAACATCTATGAAGTGATGCCATCTCCAGTCTTCCTGATATCCCCTGTCAGTGATTTGGGGCCAGTGAACTCAGCCATGGTGAGTCCTGTCCATTTAGAGCTTGCTTCTCACAAGGCCTTGTCTCCAAGTTAACTATGGTGACTGGAAACCACAGCTCTTCTCTCTCCAGTCCACTCATTTTTTTCTTCTGTTCCTTCCTTTGTGTACATGGGGGGGGGGACAGAAGAAGGGGGACAAACACCATGACATGAGTGCAAAGGTCAGAAGACAACTTGTGGAAGTCAGTTCTTTCCTTCTACCATGTGAGTGCTAGGAATCAAACTCAGATACTCAGGATTAGTGACAAGCACCTTGCCCTCATTGAGCCACCTTGCCAGACCTTCTCTCTAAATCTTGTGTGCTCTTCATACGAGAGAGGGCCCCATGGCAATTAAAGCAAGGATGCTGAGTCCAGCTGGTGGACGAGTAAGTTTATTGGATTACTTGTAGGAATGTGGGGGATTCTGGCACCCATACCCCAGCACTGGTGACAGCCCAGAAAGCCACACAATGTTCAGACAGAGCCACCAAAGGGCCACATTTCCTCTTCAACTACCATCCCAGCATGTGGGCACTAAAGGCAGGAGAATCAAGACCAGCCTGTGCTAGACTGAGGCCATGTCTCAAAAATCAACAACAACAACAATAAGAGGGGCAAGAACTAGCTAGAGAGATGGCTCAGCACTTTCTGCTTTTGAGGACCCAGCACCCATACTGCCTATAACTGCAGCTCCAAGGACCTGATGCCTGTACTAGCTCTCACTGGGCAGCCACATTCACATGATGCATACAAATAGCACAGAGAGAGAGAGAGAGAGAGAGAGAGAGAGAGCACAGACACCATACACACAGCACTGACACACAGACATACAGTCACACACACACATAGGCATACAGACACCAGAGCACACAAACATCCAGACACACAGACACCACACCATACACAGACACACACACATCACACACAGATATACAGACACAGCTAGACAAACACAGATAACACACCACACAGAGACATACAAACAATATATCATGCACAGAGACATACACACACTCACACAGACTCAACAGTCTCTCTCTCACACACACACAGGGGTACAGACACATACATACACAGACTCACACATAAAAACTAAAAAAAAAAAAATCTTTAAAAGATAAGGAAAATAAAATGCCAGAGAAATAGCTGAGCAGGTAAAGTCACATGGCCCGCTATCCTGGGTACCTGAGTTTCATCCCTGGAGCCCACATAAAAGCCAAAGAGAACTGATTCCACAAACTAATGTTCAGACTTCTATTAGTATGCTGTGACACACACCCCTACATACAATAATTCCTTTTCAGTTTTGATTTTTTGAGACAGCGTTTCTCTGTGTAGCCCTAGCTATCCTGGAACTTGTTCTGTAGACCAGGCTGGCCTCAAACTCAGAGATTCGCCTGCCTCTGCTTTCTGAGTGCTGGGATTAAAGGTGTGCCCCACCACAGCTGCCACAGCCACCAGTGCTTTCCTCACTGCCTGGCAATAATAATATGTTTTTAAAGCATACAAAGACAGAGAGAAAATGTTAAAAAGCAAAGGCTAATTGCTTAAAACACAAGTGGGGGAGAAACTAAGCATTCATGATGTAATTGCCCAGCACCTCAGCACCCTAAAAGCCCTCACTGTCAGTCCCATTGCCTCAGGTGTGTTGACCTGCAAGGGGTGAGTTCCCTGTGTGCAGGGTCCTTACAATTAGAAGGGTAATCAGGTCTCTGATTCTGGGTATGTATGTCATAATGTTAGGGTCAAGGGTTGGAGGGTGTGAGAAACTCCCTCACCTGTATCTCTCTCTTGCAGAGCCTGCCTCCACATGCATCCCAGGAGAACCAGCACTATCAGGTATGAGTCATGCCCCACTCCTCCCGCCCCCTTCTCTTACCTCTTCACCCAACCTTCTCAAGAACCTTATGGAGCCAGGAGCAGGGAGGGTCAGGTGGCAAGGGAAAGGGTCTATACTGCCCCACCCCTCTCACAGGAAAGCTCTCCAGTGAAGCCTGTTTCAGCTTCCTTGAGACTGAGCACTGAACATGCCCCTTGACTTCCTGGACCTGGGCTACTCCTCTGTAAAAAATGATCCAAAGCTTCAAATCTGTACAGGGTAAACAAGGCCCAGAGAGGTAAAGGAGATTGTGCAGAGTCACACAGCACAACAGGTCAAGCAACAATGTAACTTCAGTCCATGCAGTGACCTAGTTCTGGACTGGGTCTCAAATCTCTCCAGTCCCCTTCTGGGTGCCCCTCTGTCTACATCTATGTGTATGCTTCTTTGCTCTTCTGCTCTCCCTCTCTCTCCTTTACTCCTCCTCTATGTCTCCCTTCTCTTTATCTTCCATCTCCTTCTCCCCCATCTTTATTTCTTCATTTCTTTTACTCTCTCTCTCTCTTTCTCTCTCTCTCTCTTTCTCTCTCCAATCTTGGTTTCTTTGAAGCTCATCCTCTCCCTTTTCTTATCTGACCCTGATCCTTTCTGTTATTTTATTTCCATCTCTTCTGCTTCCATAACTCTAAGGCTCAATCCTTGGTTCCATCTTCTGTCTGTCATATTCTGCCTGCTCCTCACCCCTACAGTTTCTCTCTTTTACTTCCACTTCCCTGGCCTTTCACAGCTTTTCTCCCCACTCTTTCTAGGATCTACTAAACCCTGACTCAGCCGCATACTGCCAGCTGGTGCCAACTTCCTGTTGGTCTTTGGAACCTGCCTGCCAAGAAGACACTGGACCACACCACCCAGGGCCTCACATGTACAGTAAACACACAAGTGACATGCACAGGACAAAGCTGCTGGGAACTGGCAAGATGGGATCCACCACAGACCCAGCATCACATTGGCCAGTATCCCACGGGACTGGACGGGAGACTGACAACCCCAGATCCTGAGTGTCCCAACAACCTTCAGTCTGAGCATCTTGCAGCTCTTTGGGGCCACCTGCCTAATCCTGCTTTCCCAAAACCAGGGTTCCAATCTGTACCTCTGGGGTGGGAAGAAGGCCTTGGGTCTACCTCAAAGGTATCCCAGCAAAAAAAAAAAAAAAAAAAAAAATCCCATCGTTTCTCAACCCAGAAGCCCTTACCTTGGGGAGAAAGCAAGTCCAGAACCACCAGTGGTTCTTAACATGTGGGTCATGAACCTTTTAGGAGTGTCTAATGACACTTTCACAGGGGTTGTCTAAGACAACTGGAAAGCACAAATATTTACATTATGATTCATAACTAACAAAATTATACTATGAAGTACCAAAGAAAACAGTTTTATGGTTGGTGGTCTCCACAACATAAGGAACTGTAGAGCAAATCACCTATCCAAAGAAAACAGCCTTGGACAGTTATGTAAGGGGCACCTTGACCTGTCTCAATATCAGCCACTAGGACTGGGCTGGGACTGTATAGCACAGCTGTAGAGCACCTACCCAGAACCCACTGGGCTGGGGAGACAAGGCCTCCTATAGGAGCCCTCACCTAAAACCCACCAGTAAGGGCCATGGCTCAGCTGGTGGAGTACCTGCCAAGCAAAGAGAAACCAGGGGTTCAATCCTCAATGGGGCTGGGAGTCAGAGTCACATCACACCACCACATGGGACACATAGAAATGATGAGTCATTGGGAAATGATGACAGTCCTTGCACCACGGAACAGGAGAAGACTTTAGAAGCTTGAAAGCTCAAGAAAGTGGTCCCCACAACCCCTCAGGCCTCCACAAGCACTCGACCCTATGGCCAACAGGACTACAGATCAGTGGCATCTGTGACTGTAAGATAATAAACTCGTGTTGGTTTAAGCTACTTATTTGGTAGTAGTTCATTCCAGCAAACAGGAAATGGGAATGCTGAAGGATCTGGGAGGAGAAGTTATAGTCCCAGATGATTTACAGTATACAAATTAGTCCCTCTGAGGGGACTTCCCAGGCCTTGATCTCTCATATAACCAGTCTATAGCTAAGATGGCCACCTAGATAAACCATGTGGCCTCAGACAGAAGGAGTCAGAATTAATAAATGAATCAGGGCTTAATTATTTCTTTACAAAAAATAATTTCTGAGACAAAATCTCTCTGTGTAGCCATAGGTGTCCTGGAACTTACTGTAGACCAGGTTGGCCTTGAACTCACTAGATCACTAGACTGACTTGCCTCTACCTCTCTCGAGTGCTAGCTTAAAGACATGTACTACCACCACCACCAAATTTATAATTATAAAAAATATTTATTTTTATTTGAGTGTGTGTGCGTGCATGTGTGTGTTTGTGTGTGTGTACTTGATGGAGTTGTAGTTCTGGTTTGGTCAGATGATGTTCAAACTGTGCTCGTCCTCTTATGGACACAGGTGGAATTGCACTTTCTTGAGCCCCTAATTAGGGTGCAACATGTGACTTGCTTTAATTAATGAAATGTAGGAATTGCTTCCAGGTGTGCCATCGTGTTCCCTGACTATTTCTATCACAGTGACTAACCATGTCATTCTGGTTTCTGAGTGAGCCCACATTAAAGCTTAGTTCTGCTGACCCTTGTTAAACCTGTCTACCTGAGACAGGAATGTGGCAAGAGTGAGAAGTAAACCCTTACTGAGCCATACTGTGAATAAAATGGGGTATAAACCTTATCACTCTGACATCAGGTGAGAAGACCCAGTCTCTTCAACATAAAAACTACATTTCCCAGACTCCCTTGTAACTAGATTGTGTCACCATGTGATTAAGTTCAATGACAATCAAATATGGACAGAAGTGTCATAAACTGTTTACAGAGAGAACATTCTTCTCTGACAAGAAGGGGAGCAAGTGAGAGAGTTGGGGTCTTGGGGATGCTCTAAGATAGAGTCACCATGCCAGTTTGAAAGTTATCTGACGGAAGACTCCTTGGCTTAAGTGACTTCTTGGAGGGGGGGGATCATTATTCCTAGCTATTTCTAAACATACCTTCAACCCATCTCCAACCAACATTTTTTTCAGATAAGGTCTTTTAGCCTAACCATTTCACTTCCATGGACAGTCTGGAGAATGAACTACAGTAGCCATACTTTCCTTTTTGAATGAGTGACTTTATTAAGTATATAGCAAGCTAATGTAGAAGAATAAATAGCAAGCTTGGTGGTGTGGTGCACACTTTTAATCTCACTACAAAAAAAGGCATAAGCAAGAGGATCTCTTCAAGTTTGAGGCCAGCTTGCTCTACAGAGTGAGTTCCAGGATAGCTAGGACAACACAGAGAAACCTTGTCTCTAAGAATCAAAAATAAATGAATGAAAAATAAATCTAAAAATTAATAAATACCAAACAAATGTTAAATGAAAAAAATAATCAAATAAGATGCTCACATTATCCAGCAGAAACCCTGGGAATGATGCCTGCAGGCCCCACTCACCTTCTCTACACAGCTGAGATCCTGGCTCTTTTTCCCATTGTAGGCAATTTTATATCAGAGGGTAAAGACTAGCAGACTAACCCTAACCCTGAACCCTAACCCAACCCTAATCATAAAACTAGCCCTTAGCCAAACCCTGACACTAAACCTAACCCTAATCCTAGCCCTTACCCTAAGCCTCGTAATAACCCTATTTCCAACCCTAACATTACTTCTACCTCTAATTCTAGACAAAGTTCTAACCCTAACCTAAACCTAACTCTAACCCTAACCCTAGCTCTTGATTTAATCCTAACCCAAACCCTAACTCTACCCCTTACACAATCCTAACACTAGCCCTAACCACAACCAAAGCCTTCAACTAAACCCTAACACTAACATTTACCCTAACACCAATTTAAACACAAACCATAACCCTTATATGACCCCTAAAACTAAACCCTAACACTAAAATTTACCCTAACACCAATTTAAACACAAACTATAACCCTTATATGACCCCTAAAACTAAATCTAATCCTAAGCTTAGCCCTAGCAATTACCATAACACTAATACTAACTCTAATCGTAGCCCTAGCAGTAACCCTAACCTAAAGCTAAACTCAACACTAGACCTAATACCAGCCATAACCCTAACTCTAAACATAGGGCTAACCCTGACCCTAACTCTAGAGGCCTAGGGAGGGCCACCAGACTGGAGATATAAACATTTTCCTAAGGAGCCTTGTGGCATCAGGAACACCCAGCCAACACAAGGGACAGCCAGAAGGCTAAAAGTCAGCATAAGAACCCAGCTCTCCAACTGCAATAAGCCCTGAATATAATAAAACAGCTGAAATAAAAGAAAATTACCTTAAATCTATTCCTATAAAGATGATAGAGGCCTTTAAAGAAGAAATGAATAAATCCCTTAAATAAATACTGAATAATACAATAAAACAGGTAAAGGAAATGAATATGATGGTTCAAGATGTGAAAATAGAAATAGAAAAAATAAATAAAACAAACTGAAGAAATTCTGTAGATGGCAATCTTCGAGAAGAAAATGGAAACAAGCATCATCAACAGAATACAAGAAAAGGAGTAGACAATTACAAGTGTGGCAGATACAATTGAAAAAATATACATCAGTCAAGGAAAATATTAAATCCAAAAAGTTCCAGACACAAAACATATAAGAAATCAAGAACACTATCAAAAGATAAAACCTATGAATATTAAAAAATAAAAGAAAAAGAAGATTCCCAGATCCAAGTCTAGAGCTAAACAGAGAATTCTCAACAGAGGAATCTTAAAGCACTTAAAAAGCACTCAATAGCTTTAGCCATCAGAGAAATACAAATTAAAACTACTCTGAGATTCCATTTTACACCCACCAGAATGGCTAAAATCAAAATCTCAGATGACAGCACACACTGGAGAGGATGTGGAGAAAAGGGAAACCTCCATTGCTGGTGGAAATTCCAACCAGTTTGGAATTCAATATACCACTTTCTCAGAGAACTGCAAATAACTTTACCTCAGGACACAGCTATACATTTTCTGGGTATATAACCAAAAGATGATCTACTATACAACAAGGTATATGTTAGCTATGTTCATAGCAGCTTTATTCTAATTGCCAGAATCTGGAAACAACCTAGATGTCCCTCAACCAAAGAATGGATACAAAAACTATGGCACATTTACACAATGGAATACTACTCAGCTATTAAAAACAAGGAAATCATGAAAATTTCAGGCAAATGGATGGAACTAGAAAAGATCATCCTGAGTGAGGTAACCCAGACCTTGACACACATGGTATATACTCACTTACAAGTGGATTTTAGCCATATAATACAGGATACCCATATTATGAGGCACAGACTCGTAGAAGATAAATAACAAGGAGGATTCAGTGGAGGATACATAAATCTTATTTGGAAGGGGAAACAGAATAGCCAGATGTAGTGGTTGAAGAGAGGGAAGAAGGTAGAAGAGGGAGCACAGAGAGTTACTAAAGTAGAGATCAGCACAGACTCCTAGTAGCAGAGGCCATGGAGACTAAAGAGGACACATTCTAAATAGACTAGCTTCTTTCTTTGGAAACAGGTTTATATGCTCTACTGCGTGAGATATGACTTTTCTGTTTTCCTCTCAAGCTAAATAAGTAGGCTAGACATATGTGTTTTCTTTCACAATGCTGTGCTTTGCGTTTCTGTTCTTTCGTTAGAAATGGGTTTATGTGCTCTACTGCATGAGATATCAGTTATCTCTTTTCCACTCAACTTATTTAAGCAGGCAACACATACGTGTTTACTGTGCAACGCTGTGCTTTGTGTTTCTGTTCTTTCGTTAGAAACGAGTTTATGTGCTCTACTAATTGAGATATCACTTTTCTCTTTTCCATTCAACCTAATTAAGCAAGAGAGACATATGTATTTTAGTTCCCAAAGCTGTGTTTTGCGTTTCTATTCTTTTGTTGGAAACAGGTTTCTGTGCACAACAGTGAGATATCACTTTTCTGTTTTCCTTTCTAC